CCCTCGGCCTGTGTAACGGGGATGGGCTGGACCCTAACCTTGCCACTCGGCTTCACTCAGGCAGGAATCCCTGGTGGGGGGATGTGGGGTCTAATTAGGGTCTGATGGAGGCAGTGGAGTTGAAGAGAGGCATCAGGGCCAGGGGACAGAACCTGAGGTATCTGTGTTTCTACCTTGGTTGTTTCCTTGCAGGGACAGGGAGTCTAGTCCTTGTGACTGGGAGTCTGGGGACAGGTTAACTGGAGCTACTTATGAGACTTAAAGACCGAATGCATCCATTAATCAACATATGGGATTTGATCTGAGTGACCTTTTCCCATCCGTTACCAATGAGAGAGGTCCAGTTGACCACCGTGGCCAGCCTTTCCAGCTCACAGAAATTCTGGAGAGAGTTAGGGCAACACTGGACCTTGCAGTCTCCAGTAAATCCCTGTTTTTTAGTTCTTTAGCATGCACTAAAGAGGAGTATAGGGGCAAGACGCTCTGTGTTTTTAACTCCAATGTGACAACTAGAAACAGGACAACACAGACAGCACAACGATGAAAAAGATAACAAATAACAGACAGACTAAACCAGTTAAGACCAGAAGAAGTCGCCAGGCTTTCCCATAATCAAACATTGGCCCATTTCCTAATGGAAGGGAGGGAAGACCCTTTCTTAACCAGACCAAAGGCATGTTTCACTAACGCCATCATGCTCAAGTGGAAAAGGGACTGTGTGGTGCCACACCAGGCATCCAAGCAGCCAAGTCCAGTCAGCCAGGAAAACCAGTCGATTGAGCAAAGGATGTACAACCAGCTCATCAGCAAAACAACCAAGCTGGGAGTCTCTGATTGGTGTTCTAAGACATGGGACCCTGGCCAGCCTTGGGTGGTACCTCGCCAATGCCTGAGCACCAACGTTGGGGGGACCGGAGCCAGATGTTTCTAAGCCTGGGCCTCTTTAGGACCCCCAGGGCACCACACACTGTTAAGATTTATAAGTCCTAGGCCTAATGTAGTAGCCTAGTGGCTAAAGTGTTCACCTTGCATGCATGAAGATCCCATATGGATGCTGGTTCATGTCCCAGCTACTCCACTTCCCATCCAGCTCCCTGCTTGTGGCCGGGAAAGCAGTCGAGGACAGCCCAAAACCTTGGAACCCTGTACGTGGGACCTGTGTGGAAGAGCTCCTGGCTCCTGGCTTTGGATCAGCTCAGCTGTGGCTATTGTGGCCACTTGGGGAGTGAATCAGTAGATGGAAGATGTTTCTCTCTGTCTCACCTCCTCTCTGAACATCTGTATATCTGACTTTCCAATTGATAAATGGTTTAAAAACATTTGCAAGTCTCATTTTTGCCAGCAGCAGAGAGCAAGCTAATGCCACCAAAAACCTCTCAAGGTATGGGACAGCAGGTTATGAAGGAGGAATGTAGGGTCCAGTTTATGCAGAACTACCTTCGAGTTGAAAAGTTATGATCTTTGCAATGTTTTCTTGCTGAGCCATATGAAACATTTGCCTAGTCATTCCTGAACAGCCTAGGTAGGGGTTCTAGGGGTCACAGCAATATGCAGTTTTCTAGGCTGGGCTACCGGGAACACCTCACCTAAGACAGCTCAGCTCAGCATGGAGCCCTTATGTCCAGCTGTCCCTTCACCAGCATCTATAAATCTTTAACATTATTTTCAGTGTTTCTGATTTTTTTCTGCTCGATTTTCGGCTGAGGCATTTCCAAGGATTTGTTTCCTATTCCTTGAACATTCTTTCTTTTGCCTCACCCAGTGTGTTGTTGAGGCTTTCCACTGTATTTTCTATTTAGCATATTGAATTCTTCATTTATAATACCTCAGTTGGATTCCTTTTGATATCTCAATCTCTCAGCAAAATTTTTCAACCATATCATATATAGATCTTTTTATCTCATTGATTTGTCTCTGTGTGTCTTGAGTGTTATTGTGAACATTTTGTCCATTTAACTTTCAGGAATTTTGTAAATTACTTCATCTTCTCATTCTAATATTGAATAATCGTGTTCCTTGAGTTGAGTCACAATGTCTTCCTTGTTCTCATTTCTCACACCTCTGTGTTGACTTTTGGGCCTTTGTGGAGACATTTCCTGGGCTCTGTCTCTGGCGTGTTGGATGAATGCTGCCTCAGTGAATACCCAGATGTGTGTGCCAGATAGTGCCAGGGTGTGGTGCACCCACAGTAGGCAGGCTAGAGATTTGCTTTGTCAGCTGAAGAAGAGGTGATCGCCACCTGCCAGTATCATCACACCATCACCTCCTCTCTTTCAGGGTGATCAGTGCCTGGGGTCAGCCCACAACGGCTACTAATGCCCCACACAGGCACATGACCCACCCAGGGACCCATAGACTCCTTAGTGTGGGCAAGATCCTTGCCATCCATGATCCAGCTTGGTCAGTCAGGGGTTCTTAAGCTCTGCTAAGTGATCTGCTAGGAGCATGAATACAAGTTTCCTGTGTGTGGATGTGCAACTGACAGAACAGGTGCAATGGGGTGACCACTGAACTCCAGAGCAGACACACAGCCTTTCAGGTCAGGAGATGTGTCTGTACCAAGCGTGGCTTGTTGACACCACTCCAAAGGAGTCCTCTAACTGCTGACCTTGCGTTTGTTCTATTTGGTTTTTCTGTTTCTCCTGATGTCTAACAAAAAGGTACCCATCTCAAATATAAAGTCAGGAATTTCATCTGCAAAATGGCAAATACCTTTTAAGGGTTTTGTCTGTTTCATCAAATGTGTAAGACTGCATCACTTGTCATTTGGCTTCCATTTTCAGAAGCAGAAACGTAAATGCACAGTGATAAACTCTTGGTCAGCCTTAAGGTGGTAGGAAGAAGATGATCCAAGTGAGAGGAACGGTGGCAGTGCTGGTGACACACACGGCTAGGGTGGAGCACAGCTATCGTCCAAAGTGGGTTATGCTCAGCTTTCCTTTTGGCCTCATGCTTGCCAGGCAGGGCTTCATCTGGGCCAAGCATCTCCTTCATGTGCTTCATGTTCGCTACATCGTTAACTTTGATCTGATAACTCACAGATTAACTCAGCTACATTCCAATTGCCAAAGTACCTTTATTACAGTTAAAAAAAAAAAAAACACAATGCCTGGAGAAATAAGGACATAGACTGCACACTGAAAACAAAGGTAAAAGTTACCAACACCAGGAACCTCGGAGAACTGCCTGCTTTGGTCCTCCTGCTGCTGAAGCTAGCCCTGAGGAAGGACCGTGTTCAGGAGCTGTCCAAACACGGTCAGGCCCACCTGTCCCACAGTGCAGCAGGGGCACACACAAGCCCGTCGGAAGGAGCAGATTTTTGTTTGTTGGTTCATGTTTGCTTTACAGTGATGAGCAAGTAAATGAGCTATCCCGATACAAAAGCCTGATTTTCAGTGTTTGCCAGCATGCAAAATTCCTGAAAATTTAACAATAAGTTTAACAATAAACTTCGAGTAGCTAGTGTTAGCCTGTTTAAGCACATTATTTGTTACAATACAGCAAAGATGAACCCATTTCTGTAAACATATGTTCAGAACGCTTGATTACCCTAACAAGACATGTAAATGTAGGGGACTTTAGAAAAGTTATTAGAAAAAATATATTATAAAACTGTGCATGGATTTTAAAACTCTTTATATCAATATAAATTTGTCTTTTATTTTCTACAAACTGTTGAAGTGCCTTTGTGCAATAGGAATAAGATATTCAACTCTATGTCCCTATTACTACTCAGCAGAAGTTAAAAACAAAATACATGTACTAAATCCGATTTGACCTCAGATTAATCTACTCCAAGAAATATTTTACTATGTGCACCTCAAAGCATTTTTAAATTCACTTTATCTTTAATAAAAATAGCAACACAATTTTCACATTCATAAATATTTTATATTGATCTGAAAATGTAATATTATATGTTTTTCAATAATAAGCTACAAATAAAAATTTAATAGAGTTTGAAACTTTTAAATGAGGTGGTACCCGTTCCTTTTCAGAAGTTAGCCCATTTAACTCTGATGGGGTTCTCAAGGTAAGGGAGCGTATTTGAGGACATCCCTGAGCTGCACCAGGTAAAGAAGAGATTTGGTAAAGGAAGCATTTGTTGTATATTCACTCATCTCACCTTGACCTAAAAGAGCAAACCCCTCTAAAAGCTGAATTTGCTCACTCTGGTTGTTGTATGATGTGGCAGTAGACTACTACTGCTAAAGCAGAACGGTGGGATGTAGTGCAATACCCCTGTGCCGAGTACTGAAAGTTGAGGCAAAATGACCTATATTTAATTGAATTCCACGTTCTTACTGTTGAATTTTGTCCAAAACCCCTTCCTCACTTAGAGTTTCCATGTGATATATGAAGGCACTTTTTGAACTGACAGTGCAAAACAATTACATGACCAAATATAGTAATTGATAGCAATTTCTGGAGTTAAATCTAATGGTTACACGTGGACACACCTTTGCTGCTGGCAATATTTAGATGCACACAATGAGTTCTCACGAAGCCTTAGATGAAGGTTCACTGTGATCCTTTTGGCCAATCTGTTCTAGAAAGCACCGGAATGCTAACCATGACGAGGCCAGGGAATATTAGCAGCGAAGGTCTACTCCTCTTCCTGTGTGCCTTTGTGCTGGTAGTTCTCAGCGTGTTGTCTGTCCTCTTACCGAGGTGCAATGGCACATACGTGGTCACCCTTTGATGCTGAAGCTTCTTCCCGCTGTGTCTCTGAAGATGGCAATACAGGAAGAATGAAGCAAAGTAGCATATGATATGAAGACAAGACAAGGCTGCTTTCCTAAATTCTTTCTGCACATCAGATAAGCTCCCATGGGAATGAGCTGTCACGTTTACACCCATAGATTGAAGAAGTAGACAAGAACTCTGTCCTGTGCATCCCTATTCACTTGAACATGGACTACCGAAGTCCCTTTGTAGACCCAACATCAGGAGAGACCAAATCTTTGACCCCTTCTCTCTCTTTCAGGTAAGCTTAAGTGATTCAAATTGACATGCAGAGGAGTTCTGTTTCTGTTGATTTGTATACCCAAATTGTATAAAGTGAAAACGTGGCACCACTAACCCACCGCATGGTATCTCTGCGTAGGTTAAAGAGGACGAGGAAATAGAGCTGAATCTCTAGGACGTGAATTGGGGATTTGCTAGTAAAATAATTCCAAAATATGTGTTGGCTTTTAGAACCTGATCATCAGAGTTGAACCTCAATTCTACTGTATCTCCAGCATTAAATTCATAAATGTTTCCTAAAGTTTGGATCTTAGAGTTATCTGTCAGAGTGTGTATGGCATCCTTGTTTTTCCGAAGCTGCACTTCAAAGGGAGCAAATCCCTTGTAGGTTGGGTTAGGAGTCACTTGGCCATAAATGGCATATAAGCCGTTCTGAAGAATCCTCAACTTCCAGTCCGACATCCTGTCCAAGCAAGCAGGTTCAGAAGATGCCATTTGCCATTCTGAAGGTAATGGTCCTACAAGAAATGTAAAAGAAATTTAAAAACGAACACCATAGTATTTAATTATTTTATCTAGTTCCTGGCTAAACTTAATTATTAACCATCTATAGTTCTCTCTACTCATAACTTTAAACTATTTTAAGTGTGTGTCTTCCTCTTGTTTTAAAGTCGTTACAAATTCTAAGTGTACCTCTTCCTTGGATAAGTCTAAGGAAATGGATTAAATGAGTTAAATGGCTGTGGACCTTCTGTCAATATTTTTTACAGGAAGGAAGAAGGAAAGAGTAAAAGGAATTCCCCTCCACAGTTGTGTTGACTAGGGTTGGCAGCCCATGCTCTTCCATGATTTTATGCGTAAAAGTTATTTATCACGCGTCACTTTTTCAGGAAACCTTCCTAATCAATCTATATCAAACAGCATTCTCTTGTTCCCTATACCCCCTTACTGTGCTTTAGTTTAGCTTTCTTCTTTGAAGATGTCAGCAACTAGCCTTCTAAGGATTGCTCACTTTTATTTTCTATCTTTAAAATAAAGGCTTTTTTAAAAATTTTTATTGAAGAAAAAGGAGAGATCTCCCATACACTTATTCAATCCCAAAACAGCTGCAATACCAGAACTGAGTCAATTCAAAACCAGGAGCCGGGAGCTTTCTCCAGATCTCCCTGTAAGTGTAGGGGTCAAAGACCCAGCCCATCTTCTGCTGATTTCCCAGGCCACCAGCATGAGGATAGACTAGAAGCAGAGCAGTCAGAGCTCAAACCAGTGCCCATATGAGATACCGGTGTCAGAGGCAGATGCTTAGGTTGCTATGCCACAACACTGGATCCATATTGTTTATCTTACATCCACTTGAATATAATATGCTTGAGGAAGTACTTATTTGTTTTGTTCATTGCTATATTTTCAGCAGCTAAAAGGTTCCTGGTAGCTGGCATGTATTCAATAAAAAAAAATCTTGATTTCGTGATACTTCCATGTTCCTACATTGAGCGTTCTGGGTGTAAATTATGGTCTTCTCATTAGTTTGTATGTCTATATCATTGAAGATCTATTAGGGACATTATCATCCAAATGCTTCAAAAATAACATTGGTAAATTCGTGGATTTATAAATGGAAATTAGCTGCTTAAATATAACTATTCCTACTTAGTGCCATCACAAATGGACGGGTAAAGATCCCACACCCACTCATTCACTTTCATAGGAACACACAAGTGCAAATATTTATATAATGTCAACCTGTTTCACAAAGAGGTATGAAACCAGGACTGCAAGTGCTGCCTCTACTGCTTGAAATAATTACTTGGTGTAATCCTAATTTTCTATAACTTGGATTGTAGGGAGAAAGACTTTGTTCTATAATTTGAAAGAAATCTTGACAACAAAACACCGTGGATGATGAAGCACTTAAGTTATTTATTAACCTATAAATGACCACTCTTAGGCTCAGAGGGTAGATTCTGGAGAATGAAGGAAAGACCACTAGAGCAAGAGAGAAAGTCTGTCATAATCTCCAGTGAGCTCAGAGCCTAGTAAATTTTCTAACATTTCTCATGTAATAGGTTAAGGCAGGTTTCCAGGAAGAAGTGTCATTGATTTTCCTAAGACCACATAAGCATCTCTTGAAGCTCTCAACTTTTACCATATCAAGGGGAATTTCAAACATCTTAGATGGTAGTTCCACTCCATTCCATGACAATAAACAAAATTAAGCAAAAAATAATGGCCCAATGAAGAAAGGTAATAATTCCTACAAGTCAGGAAGCCTGATCATTTTAACCATATAGGAATACAGGGATTACAGAGTTAACCCTACAAATACTTGGCTTTGAATTGGAAGTGAAGTTTAAGAGCAATGAAAATGTGTTTATTCGAGATTTTATAAGTATTTCAAGAAACAGTCCAAAGTTTTCTATGCAAATATCAGATGATTGTAAGGGAAAGTACCTCAGAAGCTAAAAGAAGAGGGAGGAGACGCTCCTGAGTCTCAGTCCCTTTTATGCCATAAACAGAACACGACTATATTTCAATGCATAACCTCCCTACAAAAAAATTAGCAGGAGAGTCAAATAAAGAAACCATGGCATTACATTTGCAATTCAAAGAAAAGCATTAACATAGTTAATCTTCAATATGTTATTAGAAATCATTAACAAGTAGACTAATATCACAATGCAACTTTAAAAGGGAGCAGTGGGAAAAAAATGAAATAACTCAAATTACAAATAAGGGTGAGTGACAATGAGCTCATTTCATATTTACAAAAACTTTGCATTCCTTGAGAGAATATTTGGAAATATCAGTAAAGCCTCCCACATAATAAAAATGGACATGGGCAATATATGAAAAACATGAAGGGACTTGAAACTTATTATCACCTAATTACAGAATCGAAAGCTTATTCTTCAGTCTCAGATTTACAAGACTGTAAGGGTGTCATGCATTCCTTTCCAAAGGCATGACCTCAAGTGCAGAATTCACTGGCCCATGAACTTGTCTACATGATTCAGCTCCAAAAGCTATTGCTGTAATCCCACTGCCAGCACATGGAAATTCTAAATAAACAACAACTTAAAATAAGTGACAGAGGCTATCTTGAGAGCAGTGACACCTGTAAAAACATCAAAAGCTAAGGAAAGTAAAAGGTAGGTTACTCACCAAACTTGGCAACACAGGGATCCTTGGCCATCTGTTGGTGAGGAAAAACAGGAATTTGTCAGGATGATGATGCTACTAGTTTCTTGCTTGACTTATCTGAGTTTCAGATTCCTGAAGCAAACTTTTCCAACGCCATGAAAAATCAACCTCCTTCCTATGACGTGCTGATGCTCTGGGTTTCCTGTCATCACCCAGCTGCACTCTGGGGGCTTCCACATGTGGCCAATGTCATTCCAGCCAGGGAGAACTGTTTCTTCCCACATCTTCCCCCCTTGAGCTATGTAAGTCAATCTCCCTGCACTGGTAAACACGTAAAACAATCCCTTGGAATCCAGCAAGAGAATAATGGAACTTCTACTTATGTGTATTTTCATACAAAATAAGAACTTAAGCTCCTAAAATTCTTCCAGCTCAAACTGATTCCTGAGAGACAGTTCCAATCATTTCAAACTGCTCCAATCTATTTCAGCTTACACACTGCACGGTGTCTTCTGTTATGATACAACAGATATATAAATGCCAACAATTTTAAAATACTTTGTAGCAAGATAAAGCAAAAGCAATCGTACTGCCAGAAGTTTATTGGCTTCCATGTGGGAAAATGTTTTAAATGTTTGTCAGATTTAAAAGGTTAGCACATACATTTTTACAGCATTTATCTTGAGTAGTTTAAGGGGCTCAAGTGTAAAAGCAATAAAATCAGCTATGAGACCATTGCAGACATCTAGAAAAGATGTCTTTAGCCAAGGAACTGGAAGTGAGGGTGGTGACAATTTATTAGAAAGTAGAGCTTTGGGAGTGCCTGATCAGGATGTAGGTTGAGAGAATGAGAAAAGACAGAGTTGAGCCTGAGCAACTGCAGAAACCAAGTTAGTGTTCACTACAACGCACAAGATTAAGGAGCAAAAAGCTGAGTGACAAAACCGTGAGTTTGGTTTCAAGCATCTTAAGCTTGTTATTACTACTAGATGCATTTAAGGATGCATCCATGAAGCTAACGTTGAAGGAGGGCTGGTGGCATAAACGTAGATGCCTTACATTTTTCCTTAAAGTCAGAAATTAAATCGTGTCATAAAATCAAGGCGTGTAAATGGAGAGGACTACTGGGAAGCTGGAGTATTTTAGACCTCAGACAAATAGGGAGAAGTCAAGCAAAGGCACTAAGATGGAATGGCCAATGAAGGCCGGAGAAAACCAGAAGGGAGTCGTCAGCCACTGCCAGAGACACTGATGGATCGAATGGGAAGGGGACCCAATTGACTTATAGATTGAGCAACGTAAAAGACATTGGAGTTCTTGAAAAGAAGTAGTTTCTGGGACATGAGAAGAAGTTTATTTTAAAATGGTTAAATGAGAATGAGAAAATGGAGACATCGTGCTACAATGGAGAAAAAATAAATGGTCATTGAATGACAGTTCAAAAGTCGTTCTGGTTGTTCTGTTGTTATTTTCGTATTGTTTCTATATTACTACGAGCGGAATTTGTTCATTATTATTAATGCAAGTGTTCCAATATAATGACAGGTAGAAATGGGAGTAGTGCTGTCCTTGGATAATAAAAGGGAATAGGAGCTAGTTCATAGGAGGCCTTGAGACATGCATGGCCGAGTCACCTTTGGTGACAAAAGGAAAACCAAACATATATGGACATGGATGCATGGGAGTGGTGGAAATGGAGGCTTGGGATATTTTTTCTCTCTTGCTTCCATTTTCTGTTGGGACCTGGAAACAAGCTTATTAGCTGAGAGTAAGAATGGGAAGTCACTGGATGTTCAAAGATAATTAAAAAAAAAAAAAAAACTGGCTGGTAGAGGAGAGTGAATGGAAGTGGAAAAATGTGATTTGTTCCCAGAAAAACGTTTCTAATCTCATTTGAAATGAATACTCTGAGTGTAAAGCAAGGCATTTAAGCAAGGCTTTGTGCTTTTCTTCAGATCCATCCAACTACAAACGACAGACAGCATTAACATTCACTCTGTGTTGGACATTTTCCAAGGTTAGATAGAGTTTTATCCTTGGAGTACAATAGAGAGAAGGAAGTGAATGGTTTTAAGTGAGGTGAAGCTTATACTTGTAGACCATGAAATTTGATTGTGCAATTAGGGGGAACAGAAGACACTATGGAGTGAAAGGCAATGTTGTTTAAGTCACAACACAGAGACATTTGGCCCAGTGGTAAAGAAATGTGTTCAGACAAGACACCTGCATCCCAAGTCAGAATGCTTAGTTCTAATTCACCATGATAGTTCCCTGCTACTGTGTACCCTAGGAGGCCGTGGTGATGCTGATGACCAAGTACAAAGATTCCTGCACCCACACAGGAAGCTGGGATTGCAACCCTGGCTCCCAGTATCAGCCCCTCCCAGTTTCAGCCATGACAAGCACTGGGAGAGTAAAGAGCTTCTCTCTCTCTCTCCCTCTCTCTCTCTTTCCCCACAGCCCATTTCCTTATTTTCCAAGTAAATATATATTTTTAAGAAATTCACTTCACTTAATGATGGATTCAAAATTGAATGCCATTGGCATGTTAAATACCTACAAAGATGTGCCACTTCTTTTGGCTTTATGTGTCTTTGTGAAGTTATGCTAGTCAAAACCATGATTCAAGGTAAATTAAGTTAGACTATAAATTTATAACTTCATATCATAAAGTATTAAACCAAGATTAATAACATGATATGCATTTATCAAATTTTTCACTTATAGCATCTCAACACTTTGGTAAGACTTTTGTTACACATTAGCATGATAGAAAACATGATATCCATTAAAATTTTAAAAATGATTTTAAGGTATGAAAAACTATATTAAATATACTATTTGGCACATCCTTTACATGTGTAATTTGTTTGTTTCTAGTGTACATATTGTTTGCATACAACATAAGAATTAGCGTATATATGATGGGAACTAAATTGAAAACATTTTATTCATTGGGAGGTACAACCCCAAGGTCAAGAAGACAGTATTCTAGAAAATAAATGATTTTATACTCTGGGTTTGATTATTTCCTCCTCACTTTGATGTTTCTTAGGAAGGATTCTGAAGCCCATTTTAGAAAGAAATGTGCATGACTTGCTTCGTTTCAATTTCTTCATTTGGGGAAAGGATGCATCATATTTATCTCATTTATTTTTAAGTTTAAATAAATTATTGTCAAGTGTTTTGTCCAGACATACTGTCTCAACCTGTTACAAATATTATAACTGTTTTGGTGGCCATATCAATTATAAATGAGGAATTAAACAAAGTTTAAATTCTGTAGTCACAACATTGCACTAGCATTGAACAAGTCAAGAAAATGTATCTTATAATTCTTGCCCCTCAAGATGTTTATAATCTTTCTAGAGAGACATGATGACACATAGGAAGCAATTAGGTAGTGATTTTAATTTAAATGAGTAACAAAAAGCATGCCACACATCATTCCCGTGCTGATGACTATTCTGTTTAACGAATGCTTAGAGAAATTTAAGGCCATAGGCAAGCTAAGCCTGGGAACCATAACAGACCCCCTGAGTATCTGTGCAAAGTAACAGAAACCACCACTGTGATACTCTCTGATTATTGTTACAAAGGAAAATTTGATAGCAAATAAATTTGGCTATGGGGTTTGATAAAGTAACATAGGTAATCCAAGAATATCCATGCTTTTACAAGATCTTGTTAAGTTCATGCTCATTGCAGCCACAAAATGTAAATATTAATCATTACCATCCATTGAGGACCGGTTGCACAGGAAGCATTGAATAGTCATATTAATCCTTAACAACACTCTTTAAGAATTAGCATGTTGATTTAGCCAATGAGGAAATGAGGATGAGAGGGACTGAGTAACCAGCCTGAGGTTATGCAGCTAATAAAAAGCAATGTTGAGATTCAAAGCTAACCTCTCTGACTCAGAACTCTCCCCCCACCACTCTGCGGGAGTTGTTGTTGGCAGCTGTGATTCAGACAGGAGCACATGCGCACTCACACAGGAGCCACCAGAATCGCAGTTCAGTTATTTTAACCTGCATCAGTTGCTTTTTTAATCTCGTTTGATGAAAACCCAGGTTTCCCGAGTTGGGCTCAAAATGGGCAAAACTTCGGTATTTCTATCTGAAACAACTCTAATGAAAGAATCACTTGGAAATAAAATCTACTCTGCCTTTAAGTACAATATTCCAATATGGAAGTTGTATCTTCATTTCCTTGAATCAGTACACTCTTTCTAACATTTGTGGGTTGGGGGGGGAGTTGTGGGGCGTTCTTTTAAAAGATTCATTTATTCTTATTTGAACGGCAGAGTTGCAAAGAAAGAGAGAAGGACAGCAAGAGATATTCTTTATTTACTGGTTCATTCCCCAAATGGCAATAATGGCTGGGGCTGGGTTGGTCTGAACTCAGGATCAAGGAACTTCTACTGAGGCTTCCATATGGGTTCAGGGCCCAACCATTTGGCCTGTCCTCTGCTGCTTTCCCAGGCCATTAGCAGGGAGCTGGTCAGAAGAGGAGTAACTGGGACTCATCCATATGGGATGCTGACACAGCAGGCAAACACGTAACCTCTTACGTCACAGCAATGGCTATAGACACTCATGGTCTTGAGCATAGCTTCTATGAGGCTTTGATCACTGAGGGATTGATCAAACTTTGTTGAGTCCCTAACTTATCCTTTCATTTAAATGTCCTCTGAAAGATGTGGTGGGTTAGCAGTAAGAGTCTCCCAAAAGAATTTCTGTTCATCTCGTGGGAACCAAGACTCCCATATAGCATTTTTGAAAGCAGTGTTTTATACATGATAATTAGGGTGAAAATCAAATTTTTTAAAATTTCCAGGGCTGGAAAGTTTAAGCCACTGTCTGTGATCACTGCTTCATGTCCCAGCTACTCCACTTCCAACTCAGCTTCCTTCGTGATCACCTTGCGGAAAGCAATGGAAGATATCTCAAGCACTGTGCCACTGCAACCCCGGAGTAAGCTCCTGGCATGCCCTGTGGCAGCCATCTGGGGACCAGCAGATGGAAGACACCGCTCTCTCCCTCCGTCCCTCTGTGTAACTGTGACTTTAAAATAAATAAGTAAACGAAGTGTCACCAGGGTAGACATTGTGAGAAGGTGGAAGCAGTTATCTCACAATGACTTGATCGATCAGCCACTCAGATCCCTTTTTTAACAATCTTGATTTGTAGCCAAAAGGGAAAGGGAACTACAGGCAATTGGACATGGAACATATGAGCGAGTGTTGCACTGCTGACCCAGCCACTGGCTCTTCCCATGAGAACCAGCTGTCTTAAAAGTCTTTTATATACTTCAGAAAATTTGGATCTCATGTTTCACTGTCTTTAAAGTCATACTTTCTACTAAATGACTCAATTATCAAAAATATGGAATTAATCAAGTAGAGTCTGGCAAGGAACGATTGGACCGCCTTGGTCTTCCTCTTTCTGTTTGCAAGAAGTACTGTGTACCTCGGGAAGAGACATCTGCTTCCTCTGCCACGCATTCATGCCCCAATTGTATGCAGGAAGTAATGACACCTGTATTCAATATTCTGCACAAACATTTAACTAACAGCAACTTGAGACAATTTGTACAAGGAAAAAACACTTGCAAATGTTAGCAGTTACTATCCCCATCCTTATTTTTTCTCCAAAAGACCAATCACTATGAATTTCTGACATTTATTTTCTTCCTGATCAAACTTGGCTGCTCCAGCATATTCATGCTCCTGCTTGGTCCATTTCTTTTGAAGAAAAGACTATAATTATAAATACTTGTATTTTGCATCCTTGTTAGCAGTTGTAAAATAGCAACTAATGTGTCAATGTGTAAACTTTGTCCAGATGTATTCTTAACCTTACAAAAGGTGTGCTCATGTTGTATTTATTCTTCTTACATCCTTTTTAATTTGCTTTCAAATGGCTTAAGTGAGTTAGCCACATGTTTGCAATCATTACTGGTCATTCCTCTTACTAACATACTTTTATAGTCACATCCCAATCCACTCTTAGGTAGCCATGCATCCTGTTATTCTCTACAAGTCTCAGAATCTTTTAGTGGACCCTGAGAGGAGCTAAAACTTTAACCACATACTGGCTTTCTTGTTTTCTTTGATAAGTGCTCTGTAGCCTTAATAAGAAAACTTTGCAGTACAGAAGCTAATTATCTTCATTCCCAGTGCTCAGGCCCATTTGCAGGCTCACAGCTAGGACTGGAGCTCAATGGGAAATTCCTAAGGAGCATCAGGGGCTTCCCAAGACACCATGTGTCTCTTCCTTCATGAGATACTCCAGGATCACTGTCCACGTGTGCGAGCTCCACAGTCATTGATGCTCCATTTGCCCTTAGATTAATTATGGGTTATTGCAGCTTACAGTTAAACAGCCTAACGAGCAACTCTAATCCTCCATTATTATTCTCAGGTGAAGCAGACTGACACAGATGGAATCCCCTTTTCAGATTCATGTTGAGAGACCTAGACAAGAATCCAAACTGACTCATAGCTCGGTGACATTTCCCTCCCGTATACCCTCACCACCTGCCCTTTGTCTGTCTTAGCTTTACAGAGTGTTTTGGTGTCTTTCCTCTCAGCAAGACGAATGCTTGTATCCCCATCTTTCAGGATAAGCATCACATTGTGCACCTGTTTAGTTCCAGCAAGTGTGTACATAAGAGTTCCCAGAAGGGAAAGGCACTTCATAGCTGTCTGTCAATTGGATGACTTAATCAAGCATTCCCGTCTAACTCATTTAACATTGGCATTTTATAATACTTTCATCTTAAAACTCTTGGATAATCCTGAAAAGTCAGGGCACGACAAAAGTGAAATATTTACATACATTGCTTTCAACTCTCTCTTACACTACCATTTGGCAACGATACTCAGTGTAAGGAGTGAGTAACCTGAGCTTCTGCCACCTTCTTACCTTGAGTGGCACGAGTGTGAGGATCAGTGTGCTGAGGCAGCCGAGCAGCAGCAGCAGCAGTATTGAGCAGAGCAGCCACAGCTTCCAGGATGCTCTCCGTGGCCCTTGGCTTGAGTGGCTTCCAGGCACACTCTCCATGCGGTTGAGATTCATCCTCAGGAGGAATGAGAGCTCCAGAAGAAGGCATGCACAGTGCTGGGTGAATGATGCAACGTCATGTTTTGTAATGTTATGGTAATTAGTAGTGGGTGTGGAAGGTGGAGTTTCCTTCTGGCATCGCGTTGGAAAGTGATACTTCTGGGCTAAGTGCTGACTCTCACCAGGCTCCTCACCAAACACACGAGGGGAAAAAAAAATGGGCCAAATGCCAACACAAACACAGAGAGGGAAAAGCACAAGGGAAGTTCAGAAGGAAAAAGAATTCTTCCCTGAAGCCAAAGAAATTACAGTGGCAAATAGAATGGGTCTCAAAGAGAATAGGATGGTGTGTGCCCACCAAAGAAAAAGGATTTCCATTTTTTTTCAGGTATGAACATTATTTTTATAAGAAGAAATGAATTTTGAGATTAAGCCATTAAACTATATCTAGAGTGCAGAAGCCCAAAAGGTGTTTAATCAAATCACCACGCTCTAAGCCATACATATTCGCACATGTATATGATAAGCATCACATTGTATATGTATATATGTGCTGTCAATTACACTTGGAGTTGTCAATTACGCTGCAGTTAAAGAGACCAGAATGTCAGACCCACACACTAGAAGGACACGAGCTCTGACGTCAGACAGACCCGAGCACTGACTTTGTCTGTCTCGTGGCAACCACTATGCTCGCATGGCATCCCTGCACCTCGGGCTCCTGAGTTTTAACAGAGATTTCTGCTTCTTGATGCTTTTGTGAGAATGAAGCTAATGGGACAGGCTTAGCTGACAAGGAGCGCTCCATACATCTGAGTTGATCTCTTCCCTACTCTCCTTAGGGAAAAAAATAATTTATGCGTGCAAATTTACCAGATAATCCAAGGCCAGCATTATGTTACAGCAAATTAAGCTGCTGCCAACCCCAGCATCTCATGTAGGTGTCCAGAAGCATTAATAAACTGACTAAAATGAAGAAAGAACACCGCACTTCCACAGACCTTGCTCGTCTGGAATTCAGACATGTGAGCTGCTGAAAACTGAAACTCCCCCCTCTGCTTTTCTGATGTGTTCCTTCTCCAAGTCACAGATGGGAATACCCCTCCTCACTCGTCTCAATAAACGTTTATTCACATTATTCCAGGGAAGATGCAGTTCCTTCTCCTGCCCTTAATCAAGGTTAATAATCCTGTGGTTATTAATTAGCCATTCTAATCTTTTTCAAGTATCTTAATGAAGATGAAATGCTTATCTCAAGAACATTACATTCCACTGCCACTTACTAAACACATCCCAGTAATGTGAGTAAACTCCTAGCTAGCACAGGTGACAGAATGCATTTTTTGAATTCTAGGGTAATGAGTCACAATCTCAAGCTTTCTGGTCCAAACTGCCAGGACTACGCATGAATGCTGGGGATTTTACAAGAGGGAGATGGCTGCTAGAAAGGAAGAGCCAAGGCCTGTGCTCCAATATTGGGAACGAGGTTTCTGTCTAAAGTCCCACTACATATCCACGTTTAACATCCACTCTCGACTCTTGACTGAGCTGGTGTCCGGGGACACCAAATATCACAAATGCCTATAAGTTTGCCAACTGTTCAGATGAAAAGCTTAAACATGGAAAGACAGACATTCAAAGAAATACTATAGATAGGACAGGACTTCAGAAAACAGAAACGCACCGTGTTCTTGCACCCGCCTGCTTGGGTTCTGTCACTCTGTCTCTGCTCATGGTTGAATCAAGCATATCGTCAGCTCAGGCAGTTCTATGCCGGGCTCACCTCCTGAGCTTCCAGTGGACTCCTCTTCCCACCCGGCCACTGGATCCAGCTCCACCACCAACTGCCAGCACCACCAGGGTGTCTGATCACGCAACACGGCACCACTTCCCCGCTGCCTCCTCGCAGCCACAGGTCTCCAGGTGTCTCTGCCATCTGCCTGTTTTCTCCTATTTCCTGGGATTACAGCCTCTGCTTCACCCTGGCTAATGACTCTGCATCTGTTCAATGTGTCCTTACCCTATTCTGTCATCCTGTTCCTTCCTTCCTTAAGAAATTTTAACGGCTCACATTTGTTTCAAATTCCAGAATAAGTTACAGTAGCTTAGCTGTGGCCCAGTTATTGACTAAATACACTTTCTCTAAACAGTTCCAGCTGTATTTCCAGCAGACCTGTACTGTTGTCTTCACTCCATAAAAATAATTAAGCTGAGACTCAGAAGAACAAATCATTTGTGCATAGAACAGTGATTGAGACACCATCTATGGGACCTCAACATTTATATTTTTCGACGTGTCTGTGCTGAAATGTGTGTCACACAGACACTGTGTGATGTGAACAGTGGGAAATGGATTGCAGCCTGTGAGAGGTGAGGCAGTTATCCGTTCCCAGGAATGCTGCATGCCTCGGGTGTGTGTTCCTTGACACTGCTGCCCACCGCAGCTTTGGTCTCGTGCTACTGTGTGACCGTGCGTGAGGACTGTTGGTTGGAGCAGCTGGAACCTACTGATTTGAACAGAACTGAGTTGGACTTCTGTACGTAAGTTATTTCCCTTGTTCATTTCTGAAACAAGATTGAATGCCTTGTGCCCAGCACATGGTGAGGAGATTGAATACGGGTAGATACGGTTCAATTCCTACCTTCAAATATGCTGCTGAGGGAAGACACAGATGCACAAGTTCAATACAGGGAAAAGCATGGTAATAAAGCAAACACTAAATATGTGTCCTTGCTTAGAGTAATGGGGCATTAAACAGAGGAATCCAGATAACAACCTCACATGACTCCATTCCCCTAAGTCAATAAACTAATTGTATTGATGAGTTGCTGAAGAATGAGATGTATATACTAAAATATACACTAACTATGCCATGTTTAATACATGACTGTATTCTGTGTATTGTGTGTGTTGTACATGTACAACACACAGTGTCTCAGTGTCTCAGGCATCTTACTAGGCGGTGTAAGAGCCAACAAGACTAAGTGGCATCTGATCGCAAAGAACCCACTGTCTGATCACTCCTGTTCCTTCCACACCAAAACGTACGTGCACCGTGCATCTTCTTGGCATGATCTCGGGTGACTTCTCCAGAGTTACCTGGTATCCCATCTGAATAAGAATTGGCCAGATATCTGGCGTTGCTCGTGCTGAATTGTCTGTCCAGTTGGGTGAGTCTGGTCGCGACTACAGTAACATGTTCCTCTATGAAAGGAAAGTTCAGACTGATGAGCCAAAGGAAAGAACACTGAGTCACAGGTAACACAGGAATGCTGCCTGATGAACACTGCCAACTGAAGGCAGTTTCCATTTACTAAATAAAGAACAGATGCCCCACCCCGAGCAGCAACATAAAAACGTGGCCAAGGCGGAATTACACCAAGTCTTTCATCACTCCACAGCCTAAGAGAAATCTTCTTGGCTGAAAATAAAGGTACCCCTTTCCTTACCCCCACACAGCATCCGCATCTCTTTCTCACCATCCCTTCCTCCGAGCATTCTATCGGGGCCGACCTCTCTGATCACATCACTGAGTAACGGCTACAAACTGGAACCCTTAAGAAAGCAGAGGGGCCAGTGTCGGGGCCCTTCAGGAAGATCTACCACCTGCAACACCAACATCCCAAAGGATGCCAGTTTGAATCCTGCCTGCTCCGCTCCTGACTAAGCTCCCTGTTCGTGCACAGTAGAAGATGGCCCTAGTGTGTAGGCTCCCGCAGCCATGCAGCAGAGCGAGAAGCTCCTGGGATCCTGACTCCAGAAAGGCCCAGCTCTAACTGGTGTGGCCGTTTGTAAACTAGTAAACTAGTAGGTGGAAGACCTCTCTTCCCTGTGTGTGTGTGTGTGTGTGTGTGTGTGTGTGTGTGTGTGTGTGTGTAACTTTGTCTTTTCAAAAATAAATGCATCTTTAAAAAACAAAAGGAAGGTAGAAATTGATAGAAGAACAATAAGAAAACAAGTAACACTAAAGCCTTGGTCTCTTCCAGGCACAACATTCAAATTATAAATTCATGTGTTATTTAGTCTTCCAACTACTAAACACTAGGCCTTAAAAAATCCCATTTTACAGATGAGAGAAACTGAGGTTGAAAAATGTTTGATAATTTATAAAATGTTACACAACTAGTAAAGTCTGTTTTTCCTTTGCATAACAACACTGGGACACCTGAACTAGGCTGTAGCAAGGAAAAGATTCCAGTGAGATTCCATCAGGGATTTTCATGTGCCCTACTTTTGAATCTAACACATATCAAATAATTCTTAATATATTACTAATGATACTAATGATTGCTAATACATATAGTGATATATATGTCTTCAAATATTACTAGCATATATTTCTTGATATATTAACAATTTACCAAATAATGTCTTTTTTTAAAAAGTCATAATTTTTTGCTCTACTTCAATTTCATATACTTCCTTTTTCCTCACAAATTTCAAAGTGACACAGTTTTCAAGTGGAACCAGATTTTATATTCAATTTTAAATTAGATGAACATATTACAGCAGTTGGTAGACTCCGCACCTGAAGGAGGAGTGGGGAGGGAGAGCATTAACTGGGTGAGCTGACCAATTCATGCATATGCACGTGCTGAAATACTGCTTTAATCCCTGCAAAGATGAGAAACTATCACATTTCAGTCCATTTTTTTTTTAATTTTCTCTAAAAAGTATTGTTAACCACACGGGACGCACTAAGAAAAAAACTTGTGCCAACCAAAATATCAACCAAAACGCCTTTTACTCCAATAACATATATCATGGGCCTATTTTTTAACCTTGAAATTTTTTGATGGTTGTTTGTTATTTAACATGCAGAGACAGACAGGGAGCTCCCAGGTGCTGGTTCACTGCCTAAAGCTTCCCAAATCAAAGCCAGCAAGAAGAAACTCTATCTGGGCCTCCTCGGTGATGGACGGAGGCCTGAAGACTTGAGCTCTCCCTGGGCCCTCCCCAGCTTTCACTTTCACAAGCAGCTAAGGCACAGCAGGGACTGAACCAGGCACGGCTCTGTGGCCCACCTGGTC